GGACGATGCGGTAGGGGAGAAATTCGTAATTTTTCTGGAACAAAAGTCAATTAAAAACGTCCTCGGCGTAACGGCCGCCCGCGCGTCATCTCGATCGTACAACAACGGCGCGTGTATTATATTGTAGTACGCGTCTGTGTGCGGTGTGGTCGTGTGGTACATGTATATTGTATATAATATATATATATACGTGTACAAGTACACGGGGACGACGCCCGCCGCCGCGCGTGGTATAGCGCCGGAATTACTGAAGGCGCCGGACCGGCGGCGCACTTTGGCCTCAGCCGGATTACTTTTCTTTTCTTATTTATACATATATATATATATATATATCTCAGTTTTTTGTTGCCCTCACAATTTCTTCTCTACACTCTTCACTTATTATTTTCTCTCCTTTCAAACGGAAAAAGGTTCTCTCGCTTTCCTCTTTATTTTCCTTTTCTTTCTCTTTTTTTTTTCTATCTTTTTTTACTATACATAAGAAACGCACAAAGTATTATTCGGCGCATAAACTTGTTGGATTCGCACCCACACCCATACACACACCCGACGACAACAACATCACCGATGTATCCACAGATGTATATATACATTATATTTCGCGCTAGCCAACTTTTGATTAAAAACTTTCGGGATCTTTTTTTTTTTTTTATCGCCGTAAAATACGGACAAGAAGAAGAGTTGTCGTATATGCGGTCAACGAAAACGCCTTGAGGGAGTATTATTCCAGTGGGACGAACCAGCGTTATATAATATGGCGTGGCAAGGTGTGTAACGACCAAGAGGTGGGGAGGGGACCATATAATGTGAATCGTACACTCAATTACAACTTATATAAATAATACGAACATATACTTTCAGTCTTAGGAATCATATAGAGAGGTAATCGCATTGACTTTTTTTAAACCCATGTGAACACTGATTGCTTTTATTAAAACTAATAATTATTTATCGCATACAATTATTAGTGGTGCAATCATCATTAGACTTTTGAAAAACTACCAAGATCATTCACACACATACGACCGACTCAAACTAATGTATGAACTATTAAGAACAGACGTAATATAGTAAATTAAGTTAGGTAATAATGTATTTATTTTAGTACGTCGCATTTTTTGAGAAAATTGGTTAACATCAGCATATAGTTAATTCTTTGTCTGAATTAAAGAACTATATGCATGCATACATTAACAGTCGATATTTCAGTAGTACCTATTTATATCATAAATTAAAAACAATAAATGAAACGGGACAAGCCGTGCGAAGAAAATTGTTTTGAAATACTTCAATATTTGAACAAGTGCTCGTTTCTTATAACATGTTTTTTAATACCACCTACTTAAATAAATTATTTCGTAACGACTGCAACGGATTTTTTTTACGGCCGAATTTATTGCCCCTAATAGACGCTCACGGCGGGATCATTAAAAAAATTATTTAATTACTAAAGTCATCATTGTCAGAGTAACAACCAGTCAAGCTCAATTTGCTTGTTAAAATTTAAATGAATTACTGCCGGCGAGGATGACGCAAAGAAGACGATCGCCACCGAAGCGTATATATGGCGGCGCGCGACGTCATGATGTCGAATGCAATATCAATCACGTGCAGACATATTATAACAAGACTGCTGCCACTGCAGTTCCGTCGATACACAAATACCTATTATCGGGTCAATTAAAGGTTAGGAAAGACTGTGGTTACTTTCTTGAGATTCTTTCAACAGTAGGTGCAATAAATAACAATCATAACAGGTTTTTCATCTCGACATGAGCCACGCCTTTTCGTCACACAGAGGTGACGGATGGACTTTAGACAGTCGACTTTCGCGCGTAAGTTATGAACTATCGCTCGACCGCCGTGGTGAAACGACGCGCGTGTACAATATAGCTGACTAATAATAGTGGACGCGTGCGCAGAAGAAGGGCATTTGGCACGATCACAAAAACCGTAAAAAAAAATCAAAAAAAAATTCTGCGAACGTTTTGCCGCACCTTATTAGAGCAGCGGGAGGAAACCCGTGGTGGACAGTGGACACGGAGAGCGCAGATAGAGACAGAGACGGAGAGACTTGCCAGAATGTCCTCCTATTAAGGATCGCTCGTAAATCTCCAACGGGCCCGCCGTCCTACATACAATACCGTCACCGTACTGGACGTGAAATATTCAAATATAACCAGTTGCGATATATTACGCATATGTAGATGTACGTTATTTGTATAATATATATACTATTATATGTACTGCCATAATATATATACTACCCGTATAGTACTCGCAGGGTACATATATGATATATACATATATATATGTGAACATCCCGAGCCGATACTGCTGCAGCGCACATATATAATCACTCAATCTTAACTGCAAATGGAATATAGGCACGCCATTCTATTACGACCATTTGTTTAACGTTTTTATCGTCTCGTCTACTGCTCCGTGCAGCTATATACTATAATAATAATGTACGTCGCGTCTTCGGTGCGCTCAAAATTATTGGCCCGGTCATGCCAAAAACCGGAACGACATTATTGCCCCGACGAGGAGGGATCGGCGGCGGCGATAAAGGCCCGACGCGGGCGAAGAAAAAAGAGATACGCCTACCCGTCGGGCGTTTGTCAAAGGCTGACGCGGCGACGACGACCGTTGTGTTTTGTCGCGGCTATGTGCAACGGCAGCCGCAGCAACAGCAGCGGCCGGACTCGTTCGGACCGATAAAAATGATTTACGAAATCGACGCGGGACGGACGACCGGAATTAATATGCGCTCTCTTGACTCTTGGCAGCGCACTCTTGATCCGGAAACTCTCGACTAAAAGCCCCGCCGCGACGGGGGTCTTAAAAATTAATTTTTTTTCTCCCGTACAGTGCAATATAATGATATTATATACAACAGAACGATCGTCGGAACGTTGACTTCCCGCGGTACACACAGCACTCGCACATAATGTATTGGTTTTAAATGTATACGTGGCGGGTATATACTGCACTCGTCGTCGCGACGATGACGACGGAAGAAGGGTCTTATCTGCCGATTCACCTCCGGTTACCGTTCCTCGCATACCATGTATACACATATATATAGGACGACCATGGAACGCGGTCGTCGTAGTAAGGTCGCGGGGGATGATCGTTAAGCGAGCGCGGAAGCCGACAGACCCTCGCACGGTGTATGTACGTATATACGCATTGCAAATATACACACTAGTGTTCCGCCTTGATTGTTTCGGCCGAGATTGACCGGCCCCCGCCGTATAACACGAGAATCGACTACGAGCGGACGGAGGTGCGCCGTGGCAGCGGTGTTAATGACGCTATTTTACACGGTCTCGCACCTAACCCGCGGGAAACGTTTACACGCGACTACCGTCTCGAAACGGTCCTTCTCCGATAACGGCTAGCGCGGATAGGGACGGTGGCGTGATGACCGCAACAACAGGACCCGAAAACGGTTTTGATCGCGCGCCGTGTGTAACGAATGTGTCCCCGGGGACGTGGCGCGCGCGCGCGAAGGTTCGAGTCCGGACCGCGGAGAGATTTTGATTAAAAGTATGTACGGCGGGGCGAGGGGAGGGGGTAGGAGTCTACGGTATATACGTATACGAGTATGATGTATAAAAATCTCCCAGCCCTCTACCGCTGCCGTCTATATATTTATATATTATTATGTATATGCGCTCGACGAGAAAATTAAATAATAAAAAGAAAACGATACTGCGAAAATGTTTAGCATCACGGCGGCCGATTCCCGGACTTTGAGCCCGTAAAAGAAGAAAAAAAAAGCGTATTTTTACTTGTTTCTTTTTTTCTTATACATTTTTTTTTTTTTATTATCGGCAATAAAATCGTGTCGGACGCGATAATCCTGCTGGAGAAGTCGAATCGCCGTGCGGTCGCGCGTTTATTTTTATGACGTCATCTTTGTCATTGGGGCCTAATGGAAAATTGGGCGTGGCCGGTTTTTTCCCGACGGTATATATCATATATATAATATAATAATATCGTGTATAATACACGACGACGATGACAATAATCATAATAATAACAACAACAACTGCAACAACGCGGTCGCGCAATATACGACGCCAAAGGCGATGCGACGGTTAGGGGTGGATCCTCCACCGCCGTATTTACTCCTCTCGCGAACGGAGCAATATAATATATATTTTTGTAGTTGTTCACCTCAGTCCGAACAAGAGATATGTAATATAAAATTATTTTATTCTCTCGACGATTATTTTATTACTGGAAACGAATGATTGCATTGTTTTTATTAAATCTCGTACACGAAATGTTTTATATTATACGCTGCTATTAATATCAACTACGTACTCATATATATATGTACGAGCGTTTTATTATTTTTACGCAAGTAGTTTTGATTCTTACGGGGTAGGTTAAACTTCACAGTGCATACTTACTTCCGATTAAAACTTGACATTTTTGGTATTTTTACGTCCAAAAACAAGAGTGTATCATTTTTTATTTTGTTTTTACTAATTCCTACGCCAACTTTATCGTCGCATAAACTTTAAGCATATACATTTGAGAAACACTAGGAAGATTTCGTCGAGGGACCGGAGAGAGTTTTTGAGTGGTTTTGATAAAACAAAATAAAAAACGTTAATCGCTCCGGAACTGTGTTGCCCTTTGTCCTTCGAAACGTCTAAGTACTTCAGTCATTTTATTAATCGCTGCTCATTTAAACGTCGACTTTTAATTAGCCGTAAACTTCGGATAAAATGATCCACCTATACAGAGTATATAAGAGACAGAGAACACCCGCCCGAGTCTTAAACTTTCTGAAGTATACACTTTGACTTCTGGAGATAATAATTCACTTGGAAGCACTGACTTTTCCAGGGGGGTTAAAGAGGTTAAAAAACCTTTCACCCGCCACTTAATTGCTAAGCATTAATATCGAAAGGAGTTTTTTGGAACTATAATTTATAAATTATACGGAATTATTAAACGGTAAAAGCGCAGTTCCTTACCTTTGTCACATTCCTTGATCACCGTCTCCCCTTCTTCGTCGTCTTTAACAGCAGCTGCACCGTCGTCTTCGTCATTTGCCGTCATATTATCCTCTTCGTCGTCTCTACTGGTACAGTCTTCGTTTGCCGACTATATATATCAAAACAACGTTTGGGTTTAACATTATGATTTAACACTTTAATATATGAATAATAATGATGTTCTCTTTTACCGATAACGTTAAACATATTATGATTGGCATTACCATTTATAGGATAAAATATGTTTGTATTGAATAAATAGGTATAAGGGAATTTATAACTCATAGGTCGATAAGGTTATAATTGTACCACAGTAGGTGTTCAAACAACAAGTCTGGTAATTTAAAATTTTCCTTTGTATAGGTAACAGGTAATAAATCAATTTTAATTGAAAATTTTACTTTTTTTATTTTATTTCAATGAAAACCTAATATTCAGTTGAGGTTGAATAACTCTGAAAGAAGTTTTACTTCATCCACGGGTACTCTCAACACGCACTTTTTTTTATTTGATTCGCAGAAACCCGCTTACATCTCTAATGTGTACCTATATGATACAACTACTTAACGAAAACTGTTAAGTAAAAATGATCGTTAATTTACCCTACCACATTCGATTTCAATTTATTTGAGTGTAATAAATATGTATTTTATTACTGTTTACTTATTTAAGAACATTATATTACTTAGGGTCTTTAAGAGGGTTAGGGTGTAATTTCCTGGTTCTTAATAGAAATATTAACTTTACGAGTATAGTGTAAATATTTAAATGTTTACGGTTGTGTTTTCAAAAACTATAGCATTGCACTAGATTCATTCAAGCTAATAATTTGAATAAAGTACATTTTTCGATTTCATGACATGAACAAAAAAGTTCTTCTTTTCATAAATAAAAATATAATACGTCATACTGAATTCTTTAAAATGGTTGACATTAACTTTGAACGCTCAATTTTATACTCCAATTACTCATATACGTGGATCACAATGTATTCTCATCACTCCATAAGCAGAACTATACAGTTATAGAACTATAATATTATGTTTAGAATATAGGTATATGAAAAATAATATCTGAGATTAAAAAGTCTTATATATTATGTATATCAATTATCAACCAATTATCAGAAATTTTTCAAAAATAAAAGTTTTTTAAATCTTACCGTAGAAGAATCTTTAGTATCCTCTGTCGTCTGACTACGACTGTCGATGAACTGTCGTTTGGTGTTGGTACCCACCGACAGCATTGGCTGATGGTTGTGATTGGTGTCCGGGTTGATGATGATTTCGTCATCTTGTTCCACACACAGAGTCATATCCTGTTGGCTGTCTACGATGTCACAGTCTGCTTCCACTGTGGAAAAATAATGAAAAAAATTGCGTAAGTTTATATATGTATATTGTATATAATAATATATTATATCGTGTGTGTATACTGTGAATACTGTGTATTGTGTATATATATTATATGGAGAAGAGCATAGAAAAACGAAAAAGAAAACTAATCTTTAATCATCCCGAAACACTTTTATAGGTTATTACTCGAAAACGGTTCAGATAAATAGCTCCGATACCCGGTTAGAGGGGTGGCGGTGCATTGGCGGCGGACGCAATAAAAAGGAAAAGCGAAATCGTCGTCGTCGTCGTCGTCGTCGTGCTTTAACTATATACTGCGGACATAAATCATATTTTAAATTAGTAACGGAGACGAATGGAGAGGGACGGGAATTTATGAGCCTTTTCATCGCGAGGTCCACCTTGGCTCTCCTCCCCCGATCACTGCCGACCGGAGCGGCCCGAAAACTCTTTTGGTACATTAAGTTAAGTGACCCTCACCGCGACGACTGCTATAATGCTATACTGTACACAGGGCTCGTCCGTCGTTTTGGCGACGATATTTCATACACTTTAGTGTGTTTCCTCGTTATAAATATATATATATATCTATATATGATGTGCGTCGACGAAACGACATATTATGTTACGGCTAGAAGAGGGGCTGCACATTTATCCACGGGCCGCCGGGTAGTTGCACAGCGCGTATATAACCTTATCGCTGTATATACATATAATATTATATGTATTGTGTACACATTGTATCCACTGCAGGATACACACACCCTTCGGCTATATGTTAGCACCGTCGATATCACTGCGCGTCGTCTCTCGTCGTATATAATACACTAAATAGTGCAGTATAATATTATTATCATTAATATTATAATATATAGGTACCATTTTGATTGTTTTCGACTGTATATGGCTTTTTTGTTCCTAATATAATATATGTATTATTACTATTTCACTGCGCTGCGCGGCGAAGGCAAATGTCGTCGTTTTGTGCACGCGACATGTGCCGCTGATGAGCATAGTAATTAAGTCCGGTAGGTATTGAAAGGGTTCCCCCTCTCTCTCTCTCTACTGCAGGCGCGGTTCGAAACGGCGGCCGTGGCGGCGATCGGGAATGGGTGAGGTGAGGGGGCTCCCGTCGAATTAGCAATCATGTCAATCCATCCGAAACCAATCAACCCCATGCGCCGTTGTTTTTCTTCTCCACCCGCGCGCACACACGCGCACTAATGACACTGCACGACACGCCAGATGGCTTCCCCCGGCTTGCACCTCCACCACCATTACCTCCCCGCCGTGATACAGCTACTCATCGCCATCATCTGGCAACCGTTTTTATCTAAACGCGATCCATATATATCGTATGAACCCGATACCTTGTAAAAGGTCACCTTTTCAGCTACGACTGTAGGCAGCAACCTATATATATATATACGAGCGACACACGATACGAACAAGATGAGCGCGTGTGACCTGACATGAATATTATACGACAATATCGCATTGTCACGCGAATATAATAATATATAACAACTTTTTCCCCGTGTTCGCTGAGTGTATATGTTTGCAACATAAAATTGTACCATATTATTATTATTATACGCGTAGCACTGGGAGGTGACATCAGCGATATGGGTGAGATGTGAAGGGGAGGAGCTGCGAAAAAACGAATTCGAAAATGTAAAAAAGTTCCCGATTTGACATCATTTGACGCGATTTCTGCACACTCTCGAAAGTTGTCCTGCCGGGTATTTGACATTAGGTCGGCATTGTACGCGAGTTAGATTCGGACGCGAATTTATAATAATTTATAAATATATACATGTGCGACAGAGTTTTAGAATATATATATATGTGTGTGTGTGTGCTACAACAGTGTCGTATAAGGCAGGCGTGATTGTCGGCCGGGCAATGGGGGTAAGAGCAGAGGGTCGACTGCGAAAACTTTCCTTTAGAATACAATATATAAATACAAAAAAGTGGTTGCGGGGGGGTACATCGTTTGTTGTGTCGCATTTTTTTTTAGTTTTACGCCCTTCACGCCGATCGAACAGTGCGTGTATTATTTACACACATATATATACGTATAATATGCTAAAATAAAATAGTAAAAAGAACAATGCGCTCGACGGCGTACACGCATATAATACAATATATCATCTCATATAATATATATTATATCATACATATATCTACCTCTACGTGTAAAAATCCGAATTCCGACCACGGACAATGGCCGGTCCGGTATTATAATATTATTGTTTTGGGTATATATACATTATATATTTCAAATGCACGTTATATATGTGTATTGTGTACATGTACGTTTTGGGAAAACATATAGTTGTCGTAAAACCATATACATATAATGCTACGAGACTGCTCCTCGTCTGCACGACGACAAAATAAAACAACGTGTGACGCTGACGCCACTCGCTAATCGGGCGGGATGAGTGCGTGCCGTAAAAAAAAAAAATAGAATACAAACTGGTCACAAATTAAGTCTCACCCCCTCTCCACCCCTACCCCGCTACACAAAACCGATGAAAAATCGCTTCGCCGGGTCAAAACACGCGTGTACAATAACGTATAACGTATAACGTCCGTCCATCCGTCCGTCCACCGCAGCAGCCACCGTTTGTTTCGGTAGTGTTTTTTTTTTCCGAAATTTATTCGTTCGCCGCCGAGCCGCCACACCGCACACGCACATATATATTATTATATAAATAATTACACGTGATGTTTACGTGCGCGGGCTCGTTGTTATAATAATATTATTGTGTCACTGTACATAGTTGTGCAGCGTGTATACGTGTGCCGTATATAACGACGATAATAAATTTTAAATAAAAAACCGCACCCTTTATGTTCGGATGAACGTTTCGCGACGATATCGCCGGCACGCCGTAAAACGTTCGAAACGCGCACAAAAATTAAAACGAATACGTGTGGAGAATGTGTAAACCGGGGAAAACGCGGACGGACGGACAGACGAGAGCGGCGATATAGATTTGAATTATCGCGATCGGTTGTATTCCGCTCTGCCATCACTTGCGAGTTGCGAGGGCACATGTACTTTATGTAAAGTATATTACAGTATAATGGACGGTGGATGTAAATTGGGGCCTGAAATTGTAAAATTGCACTCCGCATGATTGTGTGGATCCCAGTAGACTGCAGGTAGTAAAAAAAAGTGCATGCGGGATGATGCCATCGTATATTTTAAGGTCGATATGAGCACACATTGTATTTACTTTGGTATATATATCATGTCGTCTGATAAAAAGCTTTAACAAGCTATTTAGATTTTAGTATTGCTTTTTAGAATTTATTACCTAGGCTCAATATTCTTTTCAAATCATCCCCTTAGAAACTAATTGCCATTCTTTTAGACGATAAGTAGGTACCACCCAAAATGGCTTATTTTACCTTCCTCATTTTTTCGTTTGATACTTACCTGTATTTAAATAATACCTACATTTAATTATGGTTTTTCTCTATTATTTACATCAGTATTTTTTGGTTGCTACTTATATTTAACGACACGATGTTTATAGCATTCGTCGCAATAATGTATCAATTTGCATATGTCATTACTCATTATCGATAACTAAAACGTATTATAATAATTAAATACGATCTCGAGTGTATTTTATTGAATGAAAAATTGAATTTCAGTCCTACCATCCCCCCGCCACAATATAATTATATTACGTCGATGCACGCACTACTGCGCAGTATTCTTGCGAATATGAGTAAATATAAGAAGATATATTACAATAATAGTATAATACAATGCATAAACGTATAAACACGGTGGACTAAGATAAACATTGCAGAAATCGAAGTCAACTGCAGCAATATATATAAAAAGCAATTATTCCAAAATAATTTTGGATATTTGTTTGGACTCAGTGCGTCTCGGCGGTACACCGTACACTTTCGAAACTCGCACATTATTATTATTATGCCAATATAAATTATAGCGATGATAATAATAATAATTATTATTGTTATTATTATACGCATTTGTGTGCGCCAAGGCAGAGCGTGCGATTCGCGATAAATCCTATGTTCTTCTCTCTCTCATCTCGGTTCGTGAGTATAATATATATATATATATATATATATATATACGGCCGGCCGGCGGGTGTACACATACAACACTTATAATAATCGCCACAAACGGATTTCGGCTTTCAGGGGAATGAAAAGCGAATCGCCGAAGAATCGCGTGTGTATGTGGGGCGAGTGCGCGTGTATCCTCTCGGAATGGGAAGGAAAAAAAATGTCACGGGGACCGATGGCGGTAATAACTAATATCGTTTTTCGCGGGACGAATAGTGTGCGCGGCGGCAGTGGTGAAGACCCATCGCCGTGGCCTACATGCGAACGTGTGTTATATATTATATAAACGAGGAGGACAAGCGTGCCGGCGCATCGGACCTAAAGATTTTCTCCGAACCAATATCATTATTGCAGCTCGCACGTTATTATCCGTCGTCGCCGCTCTTCGCACATAATAATAATATATTATACATAATATTATATGCCAATTTTTTATATTTTTATACTTTGGAAATGGCTTGCGACAGAAAAACCAATTTTGGTTTGAACGCGCCAGCGTATACGGTCAGGTGCTTAGCGTCCACGACTACGTAATACGCTGAATGCGCGTGACATCGGTTCTGGAATTTAATAATATAATAATATAATATTTCATACATTTTATTATCGCGCGGGCGATGACTGATGGTGTCAATGAAATCATTATCCACTCGAAAGTCGTAAACAAGCTGACAGAAACGTTTTACGACACAGGCGCTTTTCATCATGCTAATACCTATATATAAATATATTATGCACGTTTTAATATCGACTTTCCTGGATGGAACGTTCGATGTGTATATTTTTTATTTATTATTATTGTTGTTGTTGTTATTGCTATATGCAACCTATGCATATGCAAGTTTATCGATAGCGCATATAACATAATAATATTAT